GGTATATAAAAGAGGGTGACAACGTGACAGGACAATAATGTGTGTGTAGATAGTGAATAATTAAACTGCAGTCAGAAGTATTGTTTACGTTCGTTGATATAGGGTTTGTTATAGAGCGACTGTTGAAAATAAGTGTATCGTAAAGTTGTATTCGGAAAGAATAAACCAGTTTTATTAAGTAAGAACTTGTGTCGCTAAAGTTTCGTCTGAACGAAGTTACGGAAAGTTAATTAACAAAGGGAGACGTAACACTACTTTATTATCAGCATATGTCAATAAGTTTGGCATCAAAACATAGTTTATAATTCAAACTTTTATTTCATTTGAGTTTTGATTTCTTAATTTCAAAAGGAAATATTTAAATATATTCTCAGTCTTCACAAATCTGTGTCATGCAGAGCACCTGCTCTCTTATCTTCCTATTTTCTTTTAACCTGATGTGCATTTTAGTGTCCATCAAAGTAGATACATACTATAGATATTTACAAGCCAGAATGTAAAATTTGATTATCCAATGTTTTTGCACTGCTAAGATATCACTATATTTGTCACATCCACAAGACACACCCTTCCATTTCTCTGTGTCTTTTAAGGCATGCTTTAATTCTCTTTAACGTTGCTATTGAACATGATGAATTTGCTACCTGACAGTGTTAGGGTAGAGAAAGTAAGAGATAAGTTTTACCAAACAAAATTTTGATACTCATTTAGAAGGCTCTAGAATTATGCAAACAAATTAGAGAAACTGTAAAATAAAAAGAATATTTATATTTTTAGCATGAAAATAATCTTTTACTTGCACTGACTCAGTAAAGGCTTCATAAATTCACAGATAAAACTTTAGTAAAAGTACTATTGAAAAATCTGAATTTTTGTGTACAACAGACTTGTGATGTTTTCTAAGAGCATGCCATATTTTGTGAAGATGCACTTTGTACATTTAGAGTTTTAGTATGTGCAATTTCACAACTACCTGGTAGCTACAAGATTGGTCAAATTGACTGACTATTCTGCTTAAGGTTAACAAAGAAAGACGATTTTAAAATTTTTGTTTTGTTTTGTAACCCTCAATAGTCAAGGTAACAGAAACAGTTTTGCGCTTTACTGATCTTTCTCCCAGCTTGTCAAGCATAAATCTGGTGTTCTTCAGAGACCAAAAAATTATAAAATACTGTTTTAATTTTCCTTTGAACAGTTTTTTTTATTGTTCTGTATGATTCTATTCAGTAGATTTATATTATTCTACATGCATAACAAAGTATAACATATTTATCTTTTAAATTATAATAGTCTTATGGTTAGGGCACACAACTTGCAATCTGCATATCGAGGGATCAAAACCAATCACCAAGCAATACTCACCATTTTATCCATGGGGTATTATAATGTGATGTCAATCCTACTATTCATTGGTAAAGTACACCCGAAGAGTTGATAGTGGGTGGTGTTGACTTGCTGCCATTTATCAAATCTGTTTCTTCAAAATTAGGGACTGTTGTCACAATTAGTTCATAGCATATTACTGATAAAGCCTTTACATTTTGGGTTTTTTATAGTAATTCTCAACCATATGGATGTATCTATGTTTACTCATTTTTGAACTTCTGCCACAATATCTGAGAAAACTGCTTGAAAATTTGCGTGAAGGATATTAACAAAGAAAAGAATTTTGAAATTATTATGAAGGTTTGAATTAACTAATTTATTACAAAATCTATACTAACATGTAAGGGGTCATTCAAAATAATAATCAAAATTCATATTTTTGAAATTCAGTCTTTATGTGTAGGATCAAAGGGGCGTTGTGTGCTCTCAAGACTGAATCAATGAAGGAATACTTCAAAATAAGTATCTGTGTTTATATTTTCAAAACTTTCATATTGAAGCTCCTCTGATGAAGGATCAAGGGGAACTTGGAAGGCTTTCAGGATAGGCTGTGTGGACTTACTTGAGAACTGATAAAAGTGAATAAAGGTCATTCAAAAGAAAGCATGCAAAAATCGTTTCTATAGTTGTTGCTTCCCTATGAAGTTTTTTCGAGAATTTACTGATTTATATGATAATGATTTGAACCTTTTCACCTTAACATATAAACAAATTTTGTTTATTGCTTAGTTGGATTATTACATAATAGAAAATATATTACTTAGAACAACTTTTATAGAATATTCATTATTAGTATAGACTACTAAAAATACAAAAAATAATCCATTGTGAGTTTCAATTTATTTCAAAAATTATTATTGTTTTATTATTTCAGTTTATGGACAGTAGCACTTTCCACAAATGCTCTTATCTCTGTGAGAAATAAATATAATATTTTAAAGGTATTGTATAGGAATATTGCAATATTTAGTTTAATATTATAGTATATGTAAATAAAAAAATGTGGTTATTTGATTCTAGAATAAGCATTGCTCTTTTAAAATCGTTTTATTATCTGTTTTTAACAGCTCATGCTTTTAAGATTAAAAATAATTTTATGCATCAGAAAATGTTCAAATTTCACATGTGAAATCTTTCTAATGTCCAGATAGTTATCAAACATTTCTTAAGAAAATACTTTATATTTTATCTTTTATTTTCAGTAACAAATCTCTGTATGGATTTGGTATATTTGACCGATCTCATATCTACCATAAACAATTAAGAAATAGATATAAGTTGTTCCTCTTTCATTCTAGAATGATAACAAATTATAACACAAAAACATGTTTAGACTAAATAGCTTAGATCTCATAACATTATACATTTATATATATATATTTATTATATTGACCTTTCAGCTGTGCCTGGCCAACAATACAAAAGTTACAATGCACTCATTTTACCATATCCAATAATATAAAACTGACCTTTAGTCTTTACAAAGTGGCTTGTCTTGGCTGTGTTTTAGTAG